CTAAGTGGATTTGAGCACGAAGAACCAGCAAATCCTGTGGGAAACTGAATAAATTCTTCCATTTGGCGTTATACCTGGAATAGTGGTGGCTTCTTGGGTTCATTATACTTGCCCATTTCAGCGTCATATAATAGATTGTGAATTAGATGTTCTACTGTGGACTGGGCATAGGGTGTGGGTAGACTCCTTAACTTTTGAGCTACCAATTCACCTATTATATCAAATTTATCAGGCTTATTGTGTAATTTTTCTTGACGATCCTTCTGTAATGATGTGACTACGTTGTACACTTCTTCATTCCTACGCTCCATATTTTGTGATATACCCTTCTGTTTATAAGCTTTGTTTATTGTAGTCAATTCAGAAGTTTTTTATTGTTCTTTACTTTCCCTTTTTCCTTTACCGTTATAGAAGACGTATTAAGTTCATCAGTAGTCATCTCAGTATTTTCTTCCATATTTTGCATTGTTTCAATATCGGTTGTCTGTTGTCTCTCGCTAGGGATAGTATCAGTGCCATCTGGTTCACTTTCATATACTGAAGACTGTGAAGAGTCAGATTCCTGGAAAAAACATCAAAGTAAATTTTCTATGCAAATTCAATTGAAACTTTGCAATTTTATTTTTCTTTTCAGGTACCCACAAATGAAGCTGAATGGAAAAAAATTAGTGATGATTATGAAAAGATTTGGAATTTTCCTCGCTGCCTTGGTGCCATGGATGGCAAGCATGTAGTAATCGAAGCACCCATGCATAGTGGTAGTGAATTTTATAATTATAAAGGTACATTTAGCATTGTATTGTTTGCAATTGTAAATGCAAACTATAACTTCCTTTATGCAAGTGTGGGCTGTCAGGGACGTATTTCAGACGGAGGTGTATTTAAGAATACATGTTTTCATAAATTGATAGAGGATTCTGCGTTAAATCGCCCACAAAATTGTAGGCTACCTGATAGGCAATTACCTGTACCCTATATCCTTGTAGCGGATGATGCCTTCCCCTTGACAACTGCTATAATGAAGCCGTATAGTGGGCATCAAGAAAAACACTCAAAAAATCGAGTGTTTAATTACCGGTTATGCAGAGCACGTAGGGTGGTTGAAAATGTTTTTGGGATACTTGCAGCTGTTACATTAGATTACAACCAGAGAAGGCCGAAAAAATAGTATTAACATGCGTTTTGCTTCATAATTACTTAAGAAAAAATTCAAAAACCAGAAGTAATTACAATCCTCCAGGAACATTTGATAAGGAAGATTTAGAAACAGGAACAATAGAACCAGGTTCTTGGAGAAGAGATCCCCAACCGAGTGCTTCGTTTTTATCTCTTACGAATATTCCACGAAAAGCATCTATGGAGGCATGGGCCATCAGAGATGAGTATGCTGAGTATTTTATGACAAATCAAGGTCAAGTACCATGGCAATTACAATACTGTTAACTTGTATAATACTTTTATTATAATATACACTATTTAACCATGTATGTACAGCGTATCAAAAAATGCACTGTTTTATACTAGTTTGTCCACAAATGCTTCCTTTTCAGTATAGATATTAATTCACCTTAATATTGGTTCAGAAATCAGGTTGTTAAAATATTGACATGATATGTGGGAGCACCCTGTATAATTGAATGATTAAAAAATACCTAGTTTTTGAATTTGATAAACTTTAAAAAATAATAATAAATATTAATTAACTTACGTGTGTTTCTTCTGAACATCCAACTTGCAAGCTCTTTCGAGGCTTATTTTTGTCTCGCAAAAAACTTAGCAATTCATAACCAAACCATTTTGAACTGAAAAGTTTCCCAGCCCCAGATTTTTTAAGTTTCTTGTAGTTTCGTCTTTCTCTATCATACTGGTTGTTAACGTTCTTTATTTTCTTTTCAACATCATTTAGTGGCACATTTAGCGATAAAGAAATTTCCTTTAATGCATCGGCTTTCTTGTAGCGATTTTTATAATCTTTATTTTTAGGGTCCCATAATATCGGATGCTCCCTGTAAAGTTCTATTAACTTGCATGTATTTTGTGTATTCCACTTTTTGTCCCCCGACATGTTTAGAAAAATACACTAGTATTTATTTAATCACTACACAACAGAAAAATAAACTTGATTTTGATAAAAATTGTACATTCTATTTCTCCTACCTGCTTAACTCGTTTAGGCACGCACACGCGTCCACACTGCGTCGACAACTTGTCGTCAAAAACACAGACCTTTTGATCTTTACCGACCTGAGACGGGACCTGAAAAAGTTTTTAAATCTGCAAACAAAACAAAATTGTTTCAGAAATATCTCATCAAATGTTTTCGATTTGTCGCCACTTTGTCGCGAAACATGAATGTTTTTGTTTTGTCTGCTTGGTCTGGACCCGGCATAAGACAGGACGACCTGAAAAAGTTTTCAAATTTGCAAACAAAACAAAATTGTTCAGAAATGTCTTAACAAATGTTTTCGATTTGTCGCCACTTTGTCGCAAAACATGAATGTTTTTGTTTTGTCTGTTTGGTCTGGACCCGGCATAAGAAAAACCTTACTAAAACACATCCCTTCCCAATCCCGGATACTCCGCCTTGAAATAGACCAATTCCACATTCAATCACTTCTCTATTATAATACGGTAAACATGAAGCCTCAAGCCTTCTCTTCTCAATAGGCAACACTTCAAAGAAATCATAAGCAAGAACTAATTCCAAAAAATTCTGTATACAGATGCCTCCAAAAGCGAAGCAGGCGTTGGATGTGCCGTTACCTCATATGATGAAATAATAAAATCATCTTTTTTACCGAAATTATACAGCGTATACACTGGAGAACTTTATGCGATCCTAGAAGCTTTTAAAAAACTAAAAACAGATGATAAAAACCAAGCAATATGCACAGACTTCCTGTCGTCACTACAATCGATAAAAGGTCTACACTCTCAGCACACCTTAGTTCAAGAAATCCATAGGACTATACAGTGCACTCGCTTCTCAAGGTGTAAATGTCACGAACATCTGACTACCATCCATTATCGGCATCCCCGGTAATGAAAAAGCAGACCAAGCAGCCAACCAAGCTTCTTGTGTAAACAGTCAATCCTCAAAAGCCCAACATATTCAAATACGTAATGACCTAAAGCAAATTTACAAGCAACAACAGTATCATACCTGGCAAACCCACTGGAACACAATCAAGAGTGCATTACATGAGATTCGCAGACTGTTGAAAAATTTGAACTTCAAACAATCTCTAGAAACGAAACGAAAAAGCTGTCATCCGAAGATTAAGAATAGGACATACCCGATTCACACATGAATACTTAATGAAGTCTGAGCCGAAGCCCAAGTATTAACTGTGAAACATATCCTGATCGAGTGTCCCCGGTACGCAAAACACATAGTGCAACTTAAACTTAAGTCAAGTATCAAAGACGTTTTCAACTCACCAGATCAAGTCTTTAACCTAATTGGTTTCTTGAAAAACATTCAGTTGTTCAACAGAATATGACCCCGTGTTTTCCATGTACTTTACTTATATTATTTAGTCATAGGTTCTAAGCTTTTAGATTAACAGTAGCAATTAGTAACATGTGCTTATCGTAATTATTGCACACAATATTGTTTGTGTCAATGGTCATTGCAGCCGACACATTAAAAAAAAATAAACTAAATTCTACGCAGTTATTGTAAATGTTTATAAGCTTAAAAAGTGATATTTATTATTAAATCATTTTGTGTACAAACATGTAATTTTTTGAAACTTATTTTTCCATATGTTATTAATAAACGTCTCAACAAAGAAAATAAGCCTCGGATTATTAAGATACATTCAGTCAACTAATCTGGACCAGCCTTAGAAATTAGCTTATTTTTCAAAAAATCTTATAAACAAAATTTAAACACGATAAGACCCTTAAGTTCAGGTACATAATATGAACGAATTTTATTAAATAATAAAAAAGTTAATATATAAATATAGTTAATATATAATGTTAAAAATAGCAATATTCAAAAACTTCATTATGGTTTTTGTTCATTTTGCAATATCTTTCTTGTTCATCATCCTATTTTAATTTAGCATACCTCATTTTGTGTATCTTTTTCTTGTGAAAAAGGTGTTTGTTGACGTCAAATCTCTAAATAGATAACTTTTTAAGTTATGAGCAAAATAATGAATTTGGCGTTTTGATTGTTTATTTAAACATATTTCCACTAAAAAGTTGATGAATCCCTAGATGATAGTTCTTTATATTATCTTATACTACACATTTCAACTGTCAACGACGAAAAAAATCTTATTTTTTACAACTTGATTGGTCTATATGAGTTCGCTTTATTTTTCAGTCTTGATTTCATCATTATAGTCAGTAACATCTTGGTAGATGTGCTATGGTTCATCATTGAGCTTCAGCAGCTCGGATACTCTGATCAATGAAACTTTTTTGGTTGTAGCCTTGATTTAGGTATAGTTAGTTTTCATTTAATAGTATAAGTAGCAACGTGACCTTTGCACTTTCTAAAAGAATGTCGCTGACTGAGATTTTACCTGTTATATTGCATATTTTAACATTTGACATTATAAAAATTGCAATTCCTTTTGAAACTTTCTGAAGTACGCTCTTGTAAATCGGCTTAATACAGAGAATTTGCATTATAAGCTGACGTATTGTATACTAATTCCAATATTTAACAACGATCATAATTACATCTGGTAAGTCAGATTAAATGTAAAGACAAGTTGTACACACAACAATAATTATTGTAATAATGTAAAGAAAAGAAAGAGAGAAGTCTCATACAGTATCTGTTAAACGGTTTTATAATATATGGGTTTTCTTAAACGTTTTTTAGTTTTAATTTTTCATATTCGACATATTTCCATAATATGAATAATTTTGCCATAGCGCCGATGCTGACGTCAGGACGGAAACGCTCAGCGAGTACAATTTACACACGTAAAATACACATTTCTAATTAAAATTACAAAATAATTAGAAAGACTTACCTCTGGACTATTCGTTCCTAAAGAGGGCCAATCACAAATATCAGTAAAATCACTAGCCTGAAATAAAAAATGTTTGATCAGTTTCCGCTCGTCCACTTCCATTTAATTGAAAACAATAAATGTGCTGCGTAGTTACGAATTATACACGGCGGTATATAAAATACAGGTTATGTTCATGTTTTTAAGTTTTCGCGTAATGTTTTCAAACATTACATAATGCGACTTGGAGCGTGACCTTTAATTTGAATACTGGTAGTAAATAATATGTTTAAAGTTTGCCAGGTAAAATTGAGCGTTTCGCGGCTTATAATCGAACGATGTAAACACAATTACCTAAATCTATAAATACACCTACACGTTACAGATTAAAATAATTGTTTTTCGTATTGTTTAACTCCTTCTCAAACGCAGATAGCAACTAGCACTACTGGCGGTATCGTACGGTAACGAGGTGTGCCGAATATTCTACAGGGAGATTCCTATTATAGGTTGCAAATAACTATAATAGGGTAAGCAAATTTGTATAACCAGTTTTAGCAAAATTTCTACCAACATCAGTTATAGGACGATCCCACCAGACTTATTTATGGTGTAAAAAATTACTAGAAATTAATTTTTGACTTTCTCAAAAGTTACTGTCTAAGACTTCTTCTCTTTATAATTATCTAGATTACCTAATACTAAATAGTTCAAGCCTTATCTCTTCGCACCTTTTATCTCGATATCATTTATTTAACCAATATTTACGATGACATTGCTTTTTGCAAATTTCTTGCTTTCTTTGAGCTATATTTCTTAAGGATGATGGTGGAGGGTGGATGAGGTATATCGTCAGGAATATAGCCGTCTTCAAAATTGTGAATACTATAAGCCGTAATGATTACTTACTAAGTAATCTACTGTCACAATACTGCAGGATCACTGTCTAATAAATATTCGGGGAAAATCAAAAATCCACAATGGAGTGTGTAGAAGACGATACAACTTGATATCGTAAAACATATTGAGACAGGACGTCTGAGGTGGATAGGACATGTAATGCGGATGGAACAAAATGACCCAGCTAGAAAACAGTCCTTGATAGATCCATTGTTAAGAGAAAAAGAGGAAGACTCAGAACAAGGTTCCTTGATAACATCAATAAAGACATAAGAAATATGGGAATACGTGCTTAGCGGAGAAAGGAAATGGATAGGGACGACTGGAGAGAAATTCTTGATAGACTAGGCGAGATCTGTAGAAATTCAGACCATAATGGACATTTTCCATACGAAGCTATTTTTTTGCTGGAATCCCTTCAGGATGTGCCCATTATCGATAATCACGATATGCGCCAGTCGCAAACATTGTGCTAAATTTTTTATTTAATAAAATCTGAAAACAATTGAAAATTTCTCATTTTTTTTGCTCCTATTTTCGTTTATAATTCGGAAAATATTGATCCTAGAGAAAAATTATACCAAGTTAAAAGTTTCGTTATTCAATTTTACACAATATTTCGTTAGCTAGAAATTGAAACTTTAATGTTTATTGTTGAAAAAAAATAGCAATAATTGGTTAAGTTAATCCTTTAAATGTTTTCGACTTTCTAAAATTGACTTACAATCTTCATATTCCGCCTAGAAAAACTTTTTAATATGTTTAAAACATGTGCTAAATTTTGTCAAGATCAGTCGGATAGGTTTTGCATAATAATTTTGCATTCCAGCCTACTGGAAAAAATCGCAAATTTTCAAATTTATAGTATTCCCTAAATGAGGCCCTCAGATAGTTGCAAATTTTTTTACATATAAAGGAAGGCTCAAACTTTCAAACGCTTTTTGTAAAATTCAAATCGGTTTACTAGGAAAGCCTAGAATTTTTAAATAGAAGTTTTAAATATTTTTTAGACTTATAAACAAATTGAATAACTTTACGAGCTTTAAACATATCAATTTCAAAATTTATACACTCAAAGAACATTAAAAGACGCTTCTTTTAAAAAAATATATACATTCGGCTTACTGGTTGCTGAGATATTGAAGGTCAAAGTTGGCATACATTTGCCGTGTAACCATAAGTGATAGAGAGCTCGTTTTTAAACAAATACCCTCGTCTTGTCAAATACTTTTTATATGAAAAGTTTTACGTAATGCGCTTCATGGCAACATCCATAAAAAAGAGAAATAAAAAACTGTTTTCGCGTAAAATGTAGCTCGGAATACATGAGAGGTGGTGGTGGGGGACATTCACTCGAAATGTGAATCAGCGAGTTCAAAATCATAGCGCGCGCTAAAAATTACATTATCTCGGCTTCTTGTTCACCAATTTTGCTCTTTTTTTTGAATCGATGTCTCGGACGAAAATGATTTTAAATATCATATTTTCAAATACCATTTTTATTTGCAAATTGGGAAATTTGCAATAAACAATTGTATGTTAAACAAATAATTGCATTTTTTTGAGCTTGCAATGTATACATCTAGTTAATTTTTACTTTTAGTAAACAAATATGTATTTATAAATTGTTAATAAATAATTTAAATTGTTAAAACAAAGGTGAACGAAAAAAATTTTTTTTTCTATATCACTTATGGTTACACGGCAAATGTATGTCAACTTTGACCTTCAATATCTCGGCAACCAGTAAGCCGAATGTATATTTTTTTTAGTGAAGCGTCTCTTAATGCCCTTTAAGTGTATAAATTTTGAAATTGATATGTTTAAAGCTCGTAAAGTTATTCAATTTGTTTATAAGCCTAAAAAATGTTTAAAACTTTAAAAAAATTTCTAGGCTCTCCTAGTGAACCGATTTGAATTTTACAAAAAGCGTTTGAAAGTTTGAGCTTTCCTTTATATGTAAAAAAATTGCAACTATCTGAGGGTCTTATTTAGGGCCTACTATAAATTTGAAAATTTGAGATTTTTTTCCAGTAGGCTGGATTGCAAAATTATTATGCAAAAGCTATCCGACCGATTTTAACAAAATTTAGCACACGTTTTAAACATATTAAAAAGTTTTCATAGGCGGAATATGGAGCTTGTAAGTCAAGTTTAGAAAGTCGAAAACATTTAAAGGATTAACTTCATTTTTTGTACTTTTTTTCCAAATATTGCTATTTTTTCAACAATAAACATTAAAATTTCAATTTCTAGCCAAGGGAATATTGTGTAAAATTGAATAAGGAAACTTTTAACTTCTTATAATTTTTTCTCTCGGATCAATATTTTCCGAATTATAAACGAAAATAGGAGCAAAAAAAATGAGAAATTTTCAATTGCCAAATAAAAAATTTAGCACAGGGTTTGCGACTGGCGCATATCGTGATTATCGATATTGGGCACATCCTGAAGGGATTCCAGCAAAAAAATAGCTTCCTATGGAAAATGTCCAATCCAAAACAGATCCCGCCTAGACTATGAGGAGGCTAGGACCCACACAGGGCTGAAAAGCCAGAATGATGATGATGAATCAAACATAAATAACATTTTTATTGTAAAATATATGAAATCAGACAATATCGCTATTCTTTTTATATGGAGATTTTACTCCATATAATATGTTACAAAGCCAACCTAAAAAAGAGAGCTACAGGTTTCATTCATGTGTAAATTACTAGCTCATGTTAACGTTACAATAATAAATACAGGTTTACACGTACCCAGTAACAGGCACAAGTCTCACTAGCATGCCAGTGCTCTGGACGGTTACGTTTAATTTCACGTGAAAATAAGGACAATATCACAAGGATTCAGCTACAAAAATCTCAAAAAGTTTCACGTAATAGTTATTGCAAAATTTAAATTGTTTATCACATAAATCTTTTATCTACAATGTTATTATGCATAAACTATTGGGTCTACATGTATTCTAAAAGCACCAAATTGAATAGAAAAGGCTTATGTTAAATCAATTAACAATTAAAACTATCATGAATGTGTTGCTTGTGTGAGTCCATTTCAAATAGGTAAAGAAATAATAAATAAGACTTACTCACAATCAATTTAATTTAACTATCAGACGACCGGTTTCGCTTTCTACAATATGCAAAGCATCCTCAGGTCTCGATACAAAGTTAAACAAATGCTGAAATAATAAAAACCCATATTAGGGTGTTGTCTAATAACGAGAAACAAAGTAGATGTTGTAAATTACAATAATTATACCAATATTACATGTCTGTGGTTTTATTTAAATGAGTAAGTTGAATAAAAGGTATAAAAGTTTTAAAAGTTTAAACAGACAAGGTAAGGCCCACAAATTGTTATAAAATAGTATCTTCGATTAATAAATGAGCAAATAAATAAATAAAATAAACATTACTTACATGCCGGTACTCTATTAATTGATGGGTGGTAGAACATGGTTGAAACTACTATATATTGTTGAATGGAGAACTCAATTCTATTATTGCAGTTGTTTGACAGTAAACGGGAAGTTCTTGAGGAGATAGATTTGATCCAATGAAGAAGAGATATGTGTGTGATTGTTTGTTAAATGAAAGTGATGTAATATACCATTGTGTTATTAAAAGCTATTTATACTTATTCGAGAGATATATTTTGAAATGTGTGTTATTTATTGAGTAATTGTTTTAATCATTTAAACCATCAATTAATAGAGTACCGGAATGTAAGTAATGTTTATTTTATTTATTTGCTCATTTATTAATCGAAGAGACTATTTTATAACAATTTGTGGGCCTTACCTTGTCTGTTTAAACTTTTAAAACTTTTATGCCTTTTATTCAACTTACTCATTTAAATAAAACCACAGACATGTAATATTGGCACAATTATTGTAATTTACAACATCTACTTTGTTTATCGTTATTAGACAACACCCTAATATGGGTTTTTATTATTTCAGCATTTGTTTAACTTTGTATCGAGACCTGAGGAAGCTTCGCATATTGTAGAAAGCGAAACCGGTCGTCTGATAGTTAAATTAAATTGATTGTGAGTAAGTCTTATTTATTATTTCTTTACCTAATTAAAACTGTTATATATTGTAAAATATATATGCAAAAGTACTGTGATTTTAAGATTATAAATATTTAACATAGTCGCATTAACAA